GGCCATTTTAAAACCGCGTCCTTTTGGCACTATTATGGGATGAAGAATATCAGAGGCATTATTAAGAGACGAGGTCAAATTTGCTTCAACTTCAGTTAATTAATTAATTAATTATTAGGAGACGAGGTCAAATTTGCCTCAACTTCAGTTAATGAGCGTACAATACATCAATTAGTTAAGTGATTGACAAAATTACTCGCTAAGATTGCAATACCTTTTCTGCTGAGGTGTAGTTTCTGACTATTGACGCAGGATAAGTCAATATTCGAGTGTTGGACAAGAACCCAACCGTTTTGGTTGCAAAAAGATTTGATGATCTGATTTTTTGCATTCCGATACTTTTTTCCCCGAGAGACTCATCATCAAAACGTTGCGTCAAGGCGGAGATTGTGAGTTTAGTGCTTGGAGAGGACGAAGAAACAAGGTTTCCCAAGTCAACCAGCTTTTCAGCAACATCACGCGGAGAGAAATCTCTAAGGTCGTTGGTACCTGCGTGAAGAATAATTTCACTAGGCTCGAGCTGAAGAGATGGTTGCAGATAGTGTCTCATGTCGCTAGATGAGGCACCTGGAAAGCTTCGAACAGCAACACGACGTTTGATTGCACGGCTTAACAGATCATTACGTAACCCCTTGATAATCGAGTCTCCAATAATGACTGTTGTATCATTACACTGAGGTTCCACATGCTCTTAATGCTCTTGATCCATTCCGGTGGCAGCTTGTTGCCCTTGAGGAGATTTGGAGCCTCTTGAGTTTTTCTTTTTCTTTTTGGATTTAACCTCTACGAGATCAGAGGCTTGGTCTTGATTTTTGCCGTTAAGGACCTGAAATTGAAGCCGATTTGATAATTCGGTCACCTTGGCAGACAAGAGTTGGTTGTCAGCGTTTAGAATGTTTATAGATTCTTGAAGACTTTTGTTTTCAGCAAGTAGACGGGTGTCAGCAGGTTCTTGTTGACACCTATATGAGATTCGTAGTTCGTTAGCCAAAACACGCAAAGAGGTGATTAGGCTCTGTTTTTCTTCATTAGCATTCTGAAGTTGGATTGAATAATGGCGGTTTTCTTGCTTTAGCAAATCAATTCCTTCGGACATTTCAGTTATTTTCTTTTGAAGTTCGAAAGCGGTGATAGGGCTTTGTTTCAAATCACTGATAGCCTGGAGTTGATTTGCATAATGGCGGTTTTCTTGCTGAAGTAAATCAATTTCTTCGGACAACTGTTCCAATTTCTTTTGGCAACTAGAAGGCAGATGTTTGGAAGGTGATGTCGAAACAAAA